TTCAGTTTGTCTGAAGAGGAGGTCAGGGTGTGGGAATCAGTCAACAAATCAAAACATTTGTCAACTTGAAAGCAGATAATCATTTCTAAAACCGTTATGGTCTCCATGAAGACAAAGGTTCCCTAATTTTGAAGAATAACTCATTTTAACCTCACTTTTTGGGCCTTAACCTATAATCTAAAGAGAACTGGATACAGGGTACGAGGCGTCAATGGTTGGTTGATCTTCTTCTTTGAAGCAAATTCAAGATTAACTTCTACTAAAGTTTCACAAAGTAACTTGAAGTCGCTGATTAGGATTTGTTGGCTCAATTTGTTTTAGGTTGGCTCCATATGTTGGGCTGTGAACGCGTCACATCTGGACTGACTGCTTATTGGCTCCCTCTGTAAGATGTTGGACTGAATATCGACCATTTTTTTATCCTTTGAATTGAAGAGGGTGCTGATGCCGGCACCAGGACGGTCTCAAAATGCATTCAGTTTAACTAAATTCAGTTTGTAACTTAATGCATTTGCAAGGAGAGAAATAGCATTATTTTCTGTCTTACAGTAAATCTCGATACAAGCTAAATCAAGTGAAAACTGTTTTGTCTTCTGTTTTGCGATTGTAGTAATGTGTTATTTATTATTTGCATGTACAGCACTTTGGCTCGACCGAAAATCGTTTTAAAATGTGTTATATAAATAAAACCTGATTTGATTTGATTTAAAGGGGATCCTTTGAAAGAAGTTGATACACGGTATTACTTTATTTGCTTTGTAGTCGAGTTAATCTGAAACATTTGGAAATGTATTAATGCTGAAGTGTGTGTTGCTTAGTTATGTTGGCGATAACTTGACATGGACGCTGGTCAATAGAAATGAAAAGTGCGCTCAGAGCAACCTCTATAGTTAAAACATGTAGTGGGCCAAGAGCATGTTTGTCTTATTGTTGTTTTTATTTTAAGTGGAGCCGTGAAAAATGAGAATTGCCTCAGGAATGCCAAGTTTGTTTCTATGAGCAGGTCAACCGGAGACCACATCCATACAACTAGTCAAGATGACCCTACAGCCCGTGCTGACTGGAGTCAATGAAGTACTTTCCCAGTACATTGACTACAGGTCTTTGAAGATCCGTAAAGATTCACCAAAAACCAAATGTGACCAAATAAACAGCAATATTCAGATCAATTACTTACTTGTGTTTTAAATAAAGGTGAATGTATTATTGTATTAATATCACTCTATAACCATAATACGTTACATAGTCTATCTGTTCATTTTGGCTGTCTTTTCAAACTAAAATCTACAGTGGACATACTGCAACATTTAAAAATCAAATTAAATTAAAATAGTCTAAATTGTAAGATGTTTTTTTAACCCTAAAGAGGTAGGAAATACAAAGTAAAGTAGATTGGAAAACACTTTTTTTCCTCGGTTCCCAGGAGAATATACACCACGTTTTACTGGTGAATCAAACTATACATTCTACACTTCCACTGGACGTAGATTCTGAATACACACTTCTCGCTAGAAATGTAATCAAAAAGCCTTAAAATGACCGAACTATCCTACAAGTCGGGTGTCCGTCATATATATGTTTTCACAGCAGGAAAGTTGACGATGGCGTGACATGGACACTGTTCATTAGAAATTATTAGGAACAAATATTGTAGGCATGTCATAATTTGAGAGGGTTTTTTGTGAACATACTAAGTTGTGCGCTGTGGACCAACGTTGCTAACATGTTTTTTTGTGACTCTGGGTTGGTTGGAGCGCGAGCCAATAGAAGTGTGAGTGTTACAAAGTGATGTCATTATGTTAAAGGAGTCCAATGGAGGCGTTTCAGGCAGAGGGGAGTGTGTGGGAGAGAAACGTTAGGACTTTAGCTTTTGCAGACCATTTGCATGAAAGCAGAATATGACGAGACGTGGATGCTGACAGAAATAGATTGATCCGTCCAAAAGAACAGGAATAACCGAGTAATAAATTAGTTTTTCATCCAATTGGTATTTCCCCATTAAATCAGAGTGCTTCGGCAACTGGAGGAGAACAAGCTTTGGAGTGAGGGCTTTAGTCACAGAGCTTGACATTAACCTAACCTCGGGCGAGTGGAGATTTTAGTCAGAGAGTAAAACAACATCACCTAGTATATTGACCCACAAACTGTTTAAGTTACTAAACCATTAACAGCTCAAATAGTCACTCAAGACGTGATTTGTTAAATGAAACTTCTCTCCCTTTTTATTGACTAAACAGAATCTGTGTTTTAGCACTTTGTTCCTTTTCATGTAAGGTTTAAATACGTAATATTGACCTGTAAAATCATTCATTAGATATCAGCGAGTGTTATATTAATGGAAGAAGAAGAAAAGTGAAATACACGACAGTAAATTGTTGAAAGATTACATGTATAGTTTGAACGTGTGTATCGTCTTGTGGTATTAACAGATGCAATAAATATGACTCATCCTTTTGTATGAGTAATATCATTCGTATTTTCTATGAATTTTGGAAGTATATTCAGGAAGAATAAGGCGATGTTCTGGAGATTAAACCATAGTTTATGTATTACTTTTGACTAGGTTACTTCTGTATGTTGGGAAATAATACGTCATAAATCATGTTAAGATGTATAGAGTAGTATGTTGTGGGGAAACACAGAAAGGACTTATTTTCTGTAAAGAATTCAAATTTTAAGATTCTGTAGACTTTAGACTGGATATTAAAGTCTATCTCCTTTTTGGCTTTGTGGTGTGTGTGTGTGTGTGTGTGTGTGTGTGTGTGTGTGTGTGTGTGTGTGTGTGTGTGTGTGTGTGTGTGTGTGTGTGTGTGTGTGTGTGTGTGTGTGTGTGTGTGTGTGTGTGTGTGTGTGTGTGTGCACGCGTGTGTGTTTTTGTGTCGTCACTACCACTCCTGGTCGTGACTCACAGCGCACAATGCTTTAATTTATTTTTAGCTGAGCAACGTTTTATACCCCCGAACTGTAGGCCTGCACACAAGATGACACACACACACACACACACACGCGCACATGATGCAAAACATACTGCCGCTTATCCACACACTTTCTTTTATATTGTTTCTAAGACGTGGAAGGGTGTGTTAGTTTGTGTATCTGCGCTCCATTGCAGTCCATTCCATTCTTTGCATTGTCTTTGGCTAACTGAACCTAATAATGTCCCAAATGATTCAGTAGAGCACGGGTCTTCAACAGGGGGTCCGTGGCCCCTAGGGGGTCCTCGAGTAAGTGTAAGGGGGAAGCCAAATTATTGTTGTATACTAATATAGTTTTAACAGTGGTGCAGGAATGAGTCCATAACCAAGAAGTGAGATAGCATTTAACACTTTGTGATTCCCTTGTCCTGAAAGTCGATGGTTTTTTGTATCCTTTGTTGGTTCGATGCAAGAAATAAGGTCTGTGGCTAAGCTAAAAAGACTGTGTCTTCTTGTTAAAAGAGATCAAATGTCAGTGTAAGTCTTTAAAAGTGGCTGATCAGACTACAATCAATCAGTAGATGTCTCGTTTCGGTCATAATGCCATTTGCTGGTTTCAGAGTTATCTAACCGACCGTACTCAAAGCGTCAGGTTGGGTAGAACTGTCTCTGACCCTGTCACCTTGGAGAAGGGAGTTCCACAGGGCTCTATTTTGGGGCCTTTGCTCTTTTTATTATATGTAAACAATATTTGTAATCAGATGCAATTTTCTACCTATCATATGTATGCTGATGACACTATTGTATACTCATGTGCTCCTTCTCTGGATATAGCCGTTTCCAATTTAAAATCTGATTGTATCACGCTGCAGCATGCACTTCTTGATTCCAAACTGCTTTGAACAGTAAGAAAACCAAAGCAATGCTTTTTGCTCCCAAGTCAGCGGCCTCTTGCCTCTCCATTGACACCCTTGATGGCATCTCTGTTGAGTTTGTCGATACCTACAAATATCTTGGCTTCTGGTTGGACAGTAATCTAAACTTCAAACACCACATTGAAGTTCTAACAAAGAAATTGAAATTCACTCTTGGCTTCCTTTACAGACTTAAATGTTGTTTTTCAACTTCATCCCGTAAAAGGTTGGTCTCTAGCTTATTCCTGTCCCAGCTGGACTACGGTGATACCATTTATAGATTTACCTGTCCCACTGTTTTGGCCAAACTTGGCCCACTCTACCATGCTGCACTGCGATATATATCAAATGCACCCTATAGGACTCATCATTGCACACTATATAGACTAACTGGATGGTCCTCACTTACTATGCGTAGGATGCAGCATTGGTTTATATTAATGTATAAAGCCACTCTACATATGTGCCAGATTTGCTCCAGTTTGTGTCTCTTACAACCTCAGATCCAGTGCCTGGATCCAGGTTCCTGCTGTGCGGACTGAGGCTGGGAAAAGGAGTCTTTTTCTTGGTCTTGAAATTACCTTCAATCAAACCTCAAACTGACAGCACTTGTCTCAATAGCATGTTTTAAATTGAAGTTGTCTGAAGTCCTTACCACCAGCTGCTCTTGCACTAATAAGTAGTGCACCTTTCTTACTGTCCTAATGTGCACAATGTAGTGACTGCTTTTTTGTCTTTTGTTTTCTTAGTTATATTCTCTGTATTTTATATGTTTGTGTTATGTGTAACGTTGCTGCCTTCTTGGCCAGGTCAGCATTGCAAATGAGATTCTATCTCAATGCTTTTATCTGGTTAAATAAAGGTTAAAAAAAAAAACGAAAGGACATCATGCTGAAAATTAGCAACATTTAGCTTAGCGGTGGTGACGTGAAGTCATGTGACCGTGAAGTAGTTTGTGTATAGCCTAATGTTAGCTTTTCACTTCTGTCACATTAGGTGTGTAAGAAAATATCGATACAGTAGTGCATCACGATACTTTGATTTTGTCGCTTGCCTCATCTCCTGTCTCTAAGTTTCCGTCTCTCTTGTGATGCTTCTTTGTCTCTTCTCCGCTCTCATATGTCTCCCCCCTCTCACTCTGCCTTTATCCTCCTCTCTCTTTCCCACTCAGAGATGAGGACTGACGTCAGGGAAGTCCTGACTGACTTGAACCCAGCTGATGAATACTCCTCTTCTTCGTCTACACCGTCTCTGTCTCCTCCCCTTCTTCTCCTTTTCTGCAACCTGTGCATGACTCCCCCCTCAACCTCCCCCTCCATGGAGTCAGGTACATCCACTCTGCAGAAGACACTTGAGTCTCAACCTTTAATAAAGCATTTTTGTTTATCAGAATCAAACTAGTTGTAGAACCTGCAGTGTGACAAAGATGTTAAAAGCAGTTTGTGGTAATCTCAAAACACAAACCAGACAGACAACTTTAAAAATGAACAGAATAAATACACTTGTCCTTTTCTGACACCTCTTTTAGCAGAAACAAATGCTACATTAATGTATTAAATCGATGTTAATCCGTGCGTGTGGATGTGGAATTAACGGACGTGACGTTGTGCGATTGAGTTGCCAAGCAACAGCTTCGGTTCATGTTAATTTACAAACTATTCAACTACAACCGTAGTTATATTTAAAAACATGTTAGAAGGCCTCACGAAATACTTTAATCCAAATTAAAATGTAAATGTGAAGGAATGTGTGTATAACAAAATACATCGGTCATAAACTAAACCGGAAACAGACGTAGGCAAGATCCTCAGCTCGATGATTGGATGGTTATGGTGATACTTTGTGTCGTTTATGAGAAAGTGTGATGGTATTTCTTTATGTATTGCAATGGCTGTGACTCAGTAAAGGCAAGAAATACAATCAAAACAAATTCAGATTTTTAATTACCCAGCATAAGTGACACAGTGTTTGGTACGTTTAAAGGATTTTTTGGGTTGATAAGTTGATGATAATACAGTAAACTAAATCTCACAAAAGTTGCAGAATAATTTCACATGTTTTAAATTGATTTTCAAATCACCAGGTATGATGAAAGTGGATCTGTCTGACAGGAAATGTTATCCTTATTGGATTTTCTCATATGTATTTGATGCATGGGAACAAACTGATGAAATGTTATACAATATCTTTTAAAATGTACTTTTAGAGTAGTCGTTGATAACACACACACTCTTTTTGATTCACCACAAATGAATATGATGTCAAGTGAAGCCATGAAAACATTTTATAACTTATCTTAAATTATTCTTGCAGGTTTTATTCACGATTGAGAATCTGAAAACAAATTGATTTAACCTGCAGATTGTACAGTATTTACTGTTTCTACTGCAGGGATCCTTAGAAATAGATCTCACTCAACGATTCCTGTCTACAAGTTTTATGTTCAACCACGAGTGAGAAATGGAACAAAATCCCCCAAAAGTTTTTCTGGCATCCTGGACACATGTAGAAATGTTTTATGAACACACAAAGGTTTTTACCCATGAGCATTTTAAATTCAGCAGGACTGGATGCCGTTATCTTATCTGTCTTGTGTATTTGTGGTGATTCAAACAAGGATATTACAACTCATTTGAAAACAAAGTATGTGACGCTGGAAAAATGGATTCAGATTCAGAAGGTGATTCTCTTTTTTTAAATGATTGTTTATCACACAATAGTTGAGTGTTTGAAACAGATGTGCCTTTTTTTTGCCGAGCGGAGCTCTGCACCAAATTATGAAGAGGTGTGGTGTGGTGGGATCATATTTCACGACCTTATGGCGCGTTTCCACTGCAGCGGGGTAGCCCCGTTTAAGCGTCCCTAAGCGTCCTCGCTCTGGCCTCGGGCTGCCTCGCTGGCCGGCCCAGGCCGTGGCGCATTTCCATTACAGTTTAGGACCTGGGCTAGCAACGCAGTGTAGGCGGGGCGATCGGCTTCACATTTCGAGTTGTTCCGTCGAGCTCCCGCTGGATTTTATCATCCCCAATGAGATGAAGGAACGTCGTCACCTCCTCGGTCGACCACGGTGTGCTTTTCTTAGAAGTAGCCATTTTTGTAGATCCTCCGTTTACAAAATGCTGTGTATAAAAATGCTGCAAGCTTGCTTCTAGATATATATGCGACGCTAGGGATGAACTCGCGCGCAATCTTGTGACGATTATCTCTGACCAATCAGCAGTCGAGAGTGTTGACGTCACTAGTTCAGCCCTGGCCCTGGTCTGAGGGAACCACGATTTGATGAGGCCGGAAAAAGAGGGAAAAAGTACCCGCTGGCCGGTACTAGGCTATGGAAACGCCACTAAAAACCGGCCTGGCCGCTTGAGGACGGTTAAGGACGCTTAAACGGGGCTACCCGCTGCAGTGGAAACGCGCCATTATGTGTTACTGTGTGTGTGTGTGTGTGTGTGTGTGTGTGTGTGTGTGTGTGTGTGTGTGTGTGTGCCTTGTGTTTGAAAGGCCGTGTTAGTCTGGATCAGGGGTTCGGGTTCTCGGCCAGGATGTCCTGCATATGAGGGGCCGTGTAGGCCAAAATTCAAACTAACCTCGCACACACACTACTGAAAACATCTGGCCTTGCACACACACTACTGAAATACTCTCACATTCACTACTGAACACCTTGCACACACACTACTGAAAATTACCCTCACACACACGCAACTGAAAACATTTTACTGAAAGGTTCTCAGTAGGGAATGTGCATGTGTTTCACCTATGTGTGTGAGGGGGATTCTTGCTGTAACGGAAGTCATTGTAATGAAACGGAACTAACAAAGAACAATGCTGCAGTGATACAGTAGGTGGCGATAATGCTCGTCTGGTTGCAAGTCGCCATTAAAGAAGAACGAAAACAGAAGGTTGAATTCAGCATGGATGTATAGAGAAACGGCACCGCAGCCGTAGTCTGGAGCCCAGGCCGAGCGGTCTACAAACTGAGACTGTCTGGTCTATCAAGGTTTTCTTGTTTACATCACCTGGCGCAGCTCGTGAGGTGGACTAGCAAGTAACCCGCTAGCAACATGCACAGCTGCAATAAGCTAACAAGCTAACTAAGGCATCAACACAACAAACACGTCCGAGTTCAAGTTGTGTTCTCTGTATCAGCTGAGCCCTGTAGCAGCCTGGAGCTAACGGAGCTAGCAGAGAGACCACCAGCAGTTTGGTACTTCCGTTTCATTACAATGACTTCCGTTACAGCAAGGATCCCCCTCACACACACATAGGTGAAACACATGCACATTCCCTACTGAGAACCTTTCAGTAAAATGTTTTTCAGGAGTGTGTGTGTGTGAGGTTTTCAGCAGTGAATGTTATAAGAGAATATTTTCATCTGATCTGTTTATAGAGTTTCTTATTGTTTTATAGAATCTGTGATACTGCAAACATCTGCTTGTAGTCAGTCAAAGACTCCTGTGTAAGTTGAGGTCACAGGTCAAACGCTTCTCCTATATTCATGGGGGAGGGTTGAGGCTTGTCTGGATCTCTTTGAGACAAGTAGACTATTGTCTCACATCTGCTACTAATTAGGTATACGCGGGCTTTCTGGGAGCCCGCCTCTCCTCGTGTTGGTTAGATGTTTTGTGTCTTTTGGGTTCAGAGATTACCTTGGTGGAGCACAAGGACACTGTGAAACTAGGATGATCTCCCGGCCGTATGTAATTGTCTGTCTCTCAATAAATATCAGTGTATTGACAGGCAAATCCAGTTTCCCTCATTTGATGATTGGCTCAACATTGCTGCAAAGAAGTTTTTACTTCACAAATGTGAGAGTGTTTCAGTAGTATGTGCGTGAGGTTAATTTATAGTTGCATGTGTGAGGTTTAATTTTCAGTTGTGTGTGTGAGGTGTTCACTAGTGAATGTGAGAGTATTTCAATTCAAAACCTTTATTTATCCAGGTAAATTCCCATTGAGATCAATGATCTCTTTTTCAAGGGAGACCTGCTCAATAGTGTGTGTGTGAGGTTAATGTTCAGTTGTGTCTGTGTGAGGTTAATGTTCAGTTGTGTGTGTGTGAGGTTAATTTTCAGTAGTGTGTGTGCGAGGTGTTCAGTAGTGAATGTGAGAGTATTTCAGTAGTGTGTGTGCAAGGCCAGATGTTTTCAGTAGTGTGTATGCGAGGTGAGTTTGAATTTTGGCCTACACGGCCCTCATAGTTTGAATGTTGGCCTACACGGCCCTTCATCCTGCAGACTCCAGCCTCACTGTATGATTTTGAATCGGACACAATGTGTACACACCCACACACACACACGCACATTTTTAGGAGCATTGTCCGACTCGCCTAATAGGTGGTGGTGATTCAGGAAATAGGAAGGAAGGAAGGGACGGTAACTCTTTGGCCTCTGACGAAGGAACACACACACACACACACACACACGTATTGTGCTGTATTCACAACTATGTGTGCAACTCGTTATCATTTATTCAGTTTTATTTCAGTGACTTGATGGGACAAAACACTTTTAATAAAGTTGTTTTTGACTTTAATTGTATTTATTAATGTCTTGAATTCAAACAATAAATAACAGCTTAAACTCTAAATATTATACCTTTATTCATATATTTATATATTATATTTGTTGAATTTTCAGCATCTTTAAGAAACAAGAGCGGTTTATTCAACAATCATGTTGAAAGTTAAAAGACTTTGGCAAACTCACACACAGATTTATACTGAAACATGTGTGTATACATGCAGATACACTCAGACACACACACACACAACACTTGTATATTTCAGGAATACAAAAATTCACAATTAATTCTCACTCGTACGAGTGACGCACTCAAACTGACACTTACTGACTCACTCTCACACTTTCTCTTTTTCTTGATATCTCTTTACTGTCTGACACACACACATACGTACACACACACACACACATTCTCTATTTATCTCACACACGCACACACACATTCTCTATCTCTCACACACACACACACACACACACATTCTCTATCTATCTCACACACACCACACACACACACACACACACACACACACACAGAGGCAATGCACACACATGCACTTTACAGTTGTTAATACATCAAACTTTCCACTTTCTCTCCCACTTTAATTTCCCGATGTATATGAATGCAGACACACATGAATAAACATTATGAAAACCCAAATGTCATTTTCATAATTGTAATCAAAGTGGAAATTAAACTTCCACCATGTTTTTGAATTATTAACTCCAAAGAACAACATTTCCTTTACCAATGTTCAGCTCTTTATTTTCTTATTTCTAATCAAACAGCTGAAACAGTTCAGCTTAGAGCA